AAGTTACACAGGTTGAAACTTTGCTCAACAGAAAACAATACATTTCCAATGCATTGCTATGCAGATGACATGAAGCATATTTCTGACACTGACAGGACACGCTAACATTTCTTTCATTTAAACTGATCTCCACTGGAGCCTTTAAAATCTTCCCTTTCCCTGGCCTCAAAGTCCAGGCTCCATCATATCTTAATGACCTCATAGTGCAACACTCAAAAAGAGCACGTCACTCACAGAACGAAGGCTTAGTTGTAGTTCCAAGAGTTACCAAAAAGTACATCTAGAGGCAGAACATTCAGCTATAGCATGCATGAAGGCAGACACTCTCACCATTTTTTGGATTAAGCTTGAAACTTTCCTCACTGAGGAAGTTTTAAGTTAGGGTTCTTGCCTTTGAACCATCCTTCCGTTATGCTGCTGTAAGCTACTGGCTGCTAGAGGACCTCCAATGATTACCTGAGCACCTGCCATCTACTCTTGTCTCTATAACTGCCCATGCATTTGTACGCTACTATTGCATGTCATTAACTTGGTGACTTTTCCCTTGTGTAGTTTGTGTTCTTTTTTCCCTTCGTCTTCATTTTCTTCCAAAGTTAATTTCCTGAGCTTCACATTCCTGACCTGTTGTTTCAGGCCCCACTAATCCGCCAAATGTTTATTATTATATTGTTTGTTCTTAATTGTTTCTCTATGCTCTTCTTTTCTCTATTGCTTTTCCCTCAACCTAGCAGTTAGAGGCAGATGGCTACCCTTCTTCAGTCTGAATGTGTTAGACGTTTCCTCTTCTTAAAAGTTTTTTTTTTCTTTTTTGCTCCCACTGTCACAAAAAAGAAATCGCTGGCTTTCACAGTATAATATTGTGACATGTTTATCTTTCAATGTCTGGCATAAAACTACACTGAACTGAATATTGTGCACGACAAATGCAGCTGAGAAAGAAAGACACATAAAAATCAGTTTTCTTAGGAAAAGCCATATCTTTCCTTCTGTCTCTATGTGTATTATTGCTTTGTCAGTCAAATCAAAACAAGAAGTAGTGTTTTGCATAGACTTTATATGGATGCCTATGTAGTAATGCCTCTGCGTGTGCTCTTTATAGCTTCTGCGTGTGCAAAAATGTTCTCACCGTGAGTATAATTATGCAAAGTGAAAGTCTTAATGCTCTCGCTTGCTTTAGCGTTGAGCTTGGCACTTTGATTTTCTGAGTGTCTTCCCACCCGTGGATATTTGTATGTATGTGTGTACGCACTTGTGGCATCACATCAACAAGCTAAATTATATGACAGAGCAAGCAAATGGTGTTTGGTCCAACGGGGTATTGGGGCAACTAAAGCTCCAACCTAAGCATCCTGCTGTAAATATAAATTAGTCTGCCAGCACAAAAGAACGTGTGTAATACTCTTACAGTATAAGTGTATGCTATTTTTTCCATCACTAGACACATGAACTTCAGGAGACACTTACAAAAAAAATCTATATTATGTACTATAACTATGCACATGTATATTTACTTGCTGTATGCTCAATCATTCAGGTAAGTAAATGCCAGAAAGTTGATTCTGTTCATCTTGACATAGTTTTCAGTGGGTGAGAAACACTTCATCACTCATCCAAATGTCATGACCACTGATCAATGGCCATGAGCACTATTCACACAGAGTTGAGAAATGACAGCAACCAAAGCACCATGAGATGGTGAAAGAATTACCTTTGACAATTTATATATTAATAATCATGAAACTGACCTCACGGCCCATTTTTAGTCAGTGGTGCTAGTTTTAGTCATCATGCAAATGTACTTTTTATAAGACTGAGGAAACTTGCAGTCAGTTGACAGTAAGGAAGTCACTTGAATGAGTGGCGTAACATTCCTTCCGCTGACACCATTGTCACTGCTACTGCATAGTGTCAGAGAGAGGATGGGTATGTCAGACATTCAAGATTAAGAGTTAAGTTCAAAGTGCTGCAGAGAGTCATTTATAAGTTGATAATAGGATAATAAGTCCATCCATCCTTTTAACCACTTATCCAATTTAGGGTCACAGGGCGCTGTAGCCTAAACCAGCTTTCACAGGGACTCCATCACTCTTCTCAGCGTATGACAAAGCTTTCCTAAGCTAGCTGGGAGACATAATGTCTCCAGTGTGTCCTGGTTCTGCCTGAAATCTCCTTACAGTTGTATCTGATTTAAATACCTGATATAGAAAGTATTCAGAAGGTGCCCTAGTCAAATGGGCAACACCTCAGCTTGCTTCTTTAGATGTTGAAGAGTAGCCACTGCACTTTCAGCTCCCCTCAAATGGTTGAGCTCTGTGTTTTGTATCTAACGTTGAACCCAGATAGTGTTTGGAAGTTCATATCTGCTGCTTGTTTCTGTAATTTTTGCTAACCAGCATCTGTTGCTAAAGTTGTGTACTGTATAGAAATACAGAGTAAATCAACAGTCCACATCACTGCAGATGCTGCACCAATCCATCAGTAACATGGCCCTGAAAAACTTAAACTCCTCCATCTGAGGCAGCAAATAATTCCTAACCTGGAGTGGGTGGGAAGACCAGCGTTTTCCATCTTTATAATATATACAGTGAAGTTTGGATGCTGCTCACAGTTTATAACGTGTGCTTCTTCATCTGTTTGGCAGATTTGGAATTTACAAACACTAAACCTGTCCTCCTTTTTAAACTTACACTTACAAGAAATATGATGGGCTGTATTGGGCTTAAAAAGATCAGTTATGTCAGGAAAAAAACACTCTTGGATTTTCAGGTTATAAAATTATATTATTGGTTTATTTTCAGATCTATTTTCGAATGTGTATTTTAGCTTTGTGAGATTTTCAGTCTGACATCAACATGACTTTGGCTTAACTGCCTGTTGTAAAAATGAATGAATGTTCCACTCTTTGAATGATTTGAGCGTGTTTGTATATCTAATAAAAATAAAACACACTAGATCTACCATCAGCTCTTATTTGGTCCACAGAATAGCCTATAATTATGAATATTATGAGAAATTCAGTCTTTATACTTTAGACTGCATTAACTCCATTAGATCACTCTCTGTAAGCTGTAAGCAATTACTCTCTGTAGTTATAACATGATTGCTGTAATCCATTTGGATTCCCGTGCTGCACATATGAGATCGACACACGCTCCAACAGGTTGAAGGATTATTCCAATCTTAGATCATTTCAGATGACCTTTATTTCGGACAATAAGAATGTGGCTTCTGCAGCTACTCATTTCACATCTGCTCTATTCAAGGAGTTCATGCATAATTGTTTTGTCTGCAATATTTGTTCTCAAAAGTTGGACTGGAAAGGTCTTTGGGTGATTTTATTGTACTGAAACTGGGCTGGGGACTTTTGAGGCATGAAGTGGACAACCAAGACAATGAAAACAACAAATCTACTTCAGCAACAGCATTTGAGCCAACAATAATTGATGTGTTCCTTTTTTTTCCTTTCTGAACTATGTGAACCGGCTGGCTATCATCTAATGATTAAGGGCCAAATTTACTAAGTGGGGCAAATTAGTTTGAGGCCACAACTGCAAAAAAATATGTGGATAGTAGCAGAAAGTTACTAACAATGCCCTAATTTATAAACACAGATACATCCAATTAATTTCAATAGTGACCTGCATTCTACAGAGAGCAGCGCAAATTAGCGAGTCAACAACAAGCAGACCTGATGAGGGAAAGACTAATATACTAATCAAAATGATACACTGTAAGAGGGGCTGACAGGACAACACACAACATCCTGATTCGTCTCCAGGTTAATGAAGTTACTGTAACTATGCAACGCATGTAAATGTGTGCATTGCCAATATTTTTCTACGTTCCATGTGAAGCTAATTATCTATATCACACTTAAAATATATTGTAAAGAAATAAACCAAAACTCTGAACATCATCTGCTCTTAACCAGGTTCAGCATAAGTTACCGTAGCGATTTAGCCAGGTCTTGAATGGAGTCAAGTTTAGATTTCATACATGATCGGTCAATACTACGCTGGCTTCCAGTGCCAAAAACGTTTTCAAAAGGATTCAGCAAACAAATCTGTTTGTAGAGATTATTTCTGTTGTGTCTTATACACTTAATCACAAACAATATTGTTGTTTTTGTTGTGCGTGTCTGAGTTGGGATGGCAAGACGGGGGGTTGGAGGGGTTCCACACTTCTAAACTACAGTGATCAAGACTGTCAGACAGGGTGTGATGGGATACAAAAGACAGCACAAGGACCCGTTGGCTTGCATCTGTCCTGAATCATCCATTTCT